CTAATAACATATGATTCAGCAATCACACTACTGGGTATACAGCCAAAGGATATGAAGTCAGTACATTAAAGAGGTATCTGCATTCCCATGTTCACTGCAACTATTCACAATATCCAAGATACATACAACTTAAGCGTCCATCAACAGATGGATAATGAAAATGTGGTATATTACATAATGGAATACTGTTCGACCCTTAAAAAGGAAATCTTGACATTGTGACAACATGGATTAACCTGTAGGACATTATGCTAAGTAAAATAAGTCAGGCAAAGAAAGACAAATACCAAACGGTCTCACTTATATGTGGAATCTAAAAATGTCAAATTCATTGAAATAGAGAATGGTGGTGACCAAAGGTTGTGGGGTGGGCGGTTGGGGAAATGTTGGTCAAGGACACAAAAATTCCAGTTAGGAGAAAGAAGTGTAGGATATCTACTGTATATCGTGGTGACTACAGTTAATAGCAACATATTATATATTTGAAAATAGGTACAAGAGTAGATTTTAAGTGTTCTCACCACAAAAACATGGTAAGTATGTGAGGTAATACATGTTAAATCGCTTGATTTAGCCATTCCACAATGTATACATATATCAAAACATCATGTATATACAATTATATACAATTTTTGTGTTGTTTTGTTTCCTTTTTGAGACTGGGTCTCATTCTCTCACCCAGGCTGGATGGAGTGCAGTGGCACGATCTTGGCTTACTATAACCTCTGCCTCCCAGGTTCAAGCCGTCCTCCCACTTCAGCCTCCCAAGTAGCTAGCACTACAGGTGCACACCACCACGCCCAGCTAATTTTTGTATTTTTTGTAGAGATGGGGTTTCACCATGTTGCCCAGGCTGGTCTCAAACTCCCGAGCTCAAACGATCCACCCGCCTCGGCCTCCCAAAGTGCTGATATTAAAGGTGTGAGCCACTGCACACAGCCTACAATTTTTACTAGTCAATTAAAAGAATTTTTAAAATAAACTTAAAAGTAAATAGTCTAAGCACCCTAATTTAAAGGAAGAGATTGTCAAATTGGATTCTAAAAAATTAACAACCACCTATATGGAAACTACAAGAAACCTACTTTACATGTAAAGACTCAGCTGGGTGTGGAGGCTTATGCCTGTAATCCCAACACTTTGGAAGGCCAAGACAGGCAGATCATTTGAGGTCAGGAGTTCGAGACCAGCTTGGACAATATGGCAAAACCCTGACTCTACTAAAAATACAAAAATTAGCCTGGGGTGACAGTTCACACCTGTAGTCCCAGCTACTTGGGAGGCTGAAGCAGGAGAATTGCTTGAACCCGGAGGGCAGAGGTTGCAGTAAGCCGAGATCACACCACTGCACTCTAGCCTGGGTGAGAGAGCAAGACTATGTCTCAAAAAAAAAAAAAGAAAGAAAGAAATATAAAGACTCCACAGGACCCTATTCCATGTGCCTCTTCCCTTGGCTGAGTTAATTTGTGTCTTTTTACTGTTAAAAAATTTTTAAAATATGAAATACTTAGGGATAAATCTGATATAAGATGTGTAAGATCTACAAGCATTGCTGAGAGAAATTAAAGAAAACCTAAACAAACTGGAGAGAGACACCAATGTTTATGGATCAATGCAATCCCAGTCAAAATCTCATCAGGTGTCTGGCAGAAACTGGCACCAAGCTAATTCTAAAATTCACATGGAAATGCTAAATACCTAGAATACTCAAAATAGCTTTGATGAAAAACAATTTGGCAGTACAAAGAGCTCAAAAACATATAGTCAACTGATTTTCAACACAGGTGTAAAGGCAATTCAGTGGAGAAAAAGATAGTCTTTTTTACAAATGTGGGCACAACTAGATATCCATATGCAAAAAAAGCTTGGATTCCTACCTTATACCATATACAAAAAGTAAATCAAAATTGATCACAGAACTAAATATAAAATCTGAACCTATATACCATCTAGAAAAAGCGAGAGAAAATCTTGGTGACCCTGGATTAAGCAAATATTCTCAGACATGACACCAAAAGCTGGAGCTACAAAAGAGTTGCACTTCAAGATTAAGAACTTCTGCTCTATTAGAAAGTACAGTTCAGATAATGAAAAGCTACACAGAAGTAAGGTATTTGCAAATCACATATGTAAGACTTCTATCTAGAATATTTAAAGAACTCTCACAATTCAGCAATGAAAGAAAACCAACAACCCAATAAAAATATGTGGAAAAGATTTGAACAAATAAGTCACCAAAGATATACGAATGGCAAAAAATAAGCCCATGAAAATGTTCAACATCATTAGTCATTAGAGAAATGCAAATTCAAACCACAATGAGATCCAACTTCATACCCACTAAGATGGCTGTAATCAAAAAGATAATACCAAGTGTTAGTGAGGATGCAGAGGAACTGGAACCCTCACACATTGCTGGTGGAGATGTAAGATGATACAGGCACTTTAAAAACTGGCAGGTACTTGTAAATTTAGAACATTCACTTACTATGTGACTCAGCCATACTATTCCTAGATATTTACCCAAAAGAAATGAAAGCATATGTTCATACAAAGACTTGGACACAAACTTGAAGTTTTATTTGTAATAGCCAAACAATGAAAAAAAAAAATACTCAAATGTGCATCAAAGGCGGATGGAGAAACAGATTGTTGTACATCCATACAACAGAGTACTACTTAGCAATAAAAAGGAATGAACTATTGATAAACAGAAAAGTACAGATTATCTCAAAATTATTATGGCGAAGGCTGACGCAGGAGAATTGCTTGAACCCAGGAGGCAGTGAGCCAAGATCGCGCCACTGCACTCCAGTCTGGGCAACAAAGCAAGACTCCATCTCAAAACAAAAAAATGTATTATTATGGTGAATAAAAGAAGCCAGGCAAAAAAGAATATATACTATGTAATTCCACTTCTAAAAAGAATCTAGAAAACGTCAAGTAATCTATAGTAATAGAAAGCAGATCAGTGGTGGGAGCATGGCATGAAGGAAAGAGCGTGGGATTACAAAGAGGTACAAAGCAGCTTTTGAAGTGATAGATATGTTCATTATTTTGACTGTGGTGATGGTTTTATGGGCATGTACATATGTAAAAATGTATCAAATTGTATACTTTAAATATGTGCAACTTATAATATACCTATTTATTAAACTTAAAAACTAAGAGATAAAGAAAATAGCCAAGATGTTCCTAAAGAATAAGATAGCAGACACACAAATATGCATGCACACACACACTCACATAAAGCAACGGGGAAAGGGATAGCTTTTGCAATAAATTAAGTTGGGACAAATGGGTATTCCATATGGGGAAGAAAAGAGGAATCTACCACATACTGAGCACAAAAACAATTCCAGGTGGATAATAAATCTAAATGTGAAAGGTCAAATAATAAAAGTTCTGAAACATGGGATAGGCAAAGATTACTTAAATAAGTCATAAAAATCACTAACCATTAAGGTTAAGATTGATAAAATTGACTATATTAAAAATAAGATCTTCAGTTCATCAAAAGATACCATAAAATGAAAAGATAACCACAGAATGAGTGAAAATATCTGTAATACACACAACTAACAAAGGACTGAGAATATTCAGAATATATAAAGAACTCTTACAGCTTAACAAGGGAAAGAATGACAACTTCAGAGGAAAAAGACTAGAGTGGAACTGAAAGAGGAGATCCAAATGCTCAACAAACATACGTAAAAGTTGATCAATGTCACTCCTACTCGGGGAAATGTAAATGAAGCCACCATGAAATACTACTACCTAACTACCAGACTTGGCAAAATGTTAACAGTCTGGATTTAATTGGATTACCTTGCTAAGGAAAAATTAACTAATTTTTAAAAAATTTAATAACCTGGCAAAATCAAGTGCCGCCATGTACAACAACAGGTTCATTCAGTCCTTGTTGGGACTGTAAACTGTTAAAAACAGTTTTGGAAGGTGGTTTGACATTATTTAGTGAAGCTAAAGATACCTATACCCATTACCTGGCAATTTCTAGGTACAGACCCTACAGAAATGTATGCATATATACACCGGGAAATCTAATACTCATATCAGCATAGTATTAGCCAAAAATGGAAGCAACTCAAATATCGGTCATCAACTCGATCAATATACTATGGTATAGTCATATAATGGAACTCAAAATACAAATGAAAGTGAAGAAACTACAACTATACACAAAGTAGTTGAACATATGAAACATCAGGTTGAGCAAAAAAAGCAAGACTCAAAAGAATACATACTGATTGCATTTACTTTAATCTGGAAACCAGGTAAACCACAGTATGTTATTTAGTGACATAACTGGTGTTAAAACTACAAAGAAAAGCAATTAAATAACTGCATAACAACCTCTTGAGTTTCTAGGGTGCACTACATTTTTTTTAACCTGAGCAGTTGTTACATAGGTGTTCACTCTAAGTATTTGCTAAAATGTACATCTGTTATATGCGCTGTTCTATATTTGCTATATGGTGCTATAAAATTTTTCAAATGTAAAGAGTCTATGAGATTAATGGATTCAATATTCACCTATGAAATTTGCTATTAACATTTTTTGAATTTATTACAAATGAAACCATAAGCTGTATCATATTAAGTTATCATCTGACATAGCTAATAAGTAGTTAGCTCTTTATTCTACCAGTTACCAGCTATGTGACCTTGGGCAAACTAATCTTTCTGAGCCTCAGTTTCTATAAAATGAGGATAGAAAATAACAGTACTAATTCCAGAGTTATGAGAAGGAAATGAGATATCTATGTAAATACTTCAAACAGAACCTGGCATATAGCAAACAATCATTATGTATAACCATTAAATGGCACTTTAAGATGATGTTTAGACACACGCTACACATTAAGTGACCAATTTCACAAAAGCCAATGTGTTTTCATTGGTTAAAGGAGATGATGGTACCTATAACTGCAATACTAAATCATGCACAAAAGACAATGGACATCTTTCACATCACTTACCATCCAGTGACACCTCCAATGAACAGCTGGGTTGCCACGCTATACTTTTCTGCTGAAGGTCCAGATTCCTGCCCGAATAGCTTACGCCACCATGGCTGCTTCTTAGCAAATTCCGCAAGGTCCAGTGACTCAAAATTTCCGTCAAAGTTTCCTACAAGAAATAATATGTTAAATAAGAAAATATTTACTTTTATAAGAAATCACTACCATACCTAACTAGATTAAAATATATTTAAAGAAACAGAGATAGATATAATACGAAACCTCCAAATATTGTATTTTAAATAGTAAATTTATTCTAAGTTACAATTTTGGAAAATCAGACTAAAATCAGCAAATGCTAATGTCTATATTAGAGGGAAAAACCTAGAAAATCTAGAATTAGTCCTCTAGTTTGTCTTCTCAAATTTAAAAATAACAAAAAAGGCTGGGAATGGTGGCTCACGCCTGTAATCCCAGCGCTTTGGGAGGCCGAGGTGGGCGAATCACCTGTGGTCTGGAGTTCGAAACCAGTCTGGCCAAAATGGCGAAACCCCATCTCTACTAAAAATACAAAAATTAGC